GCAAAATGATTCCACTCTTTGTCATCAGCCTTTTTAGACAAAAGTATGAACATTGCGCAATGTAGCAGTAAAAAATGCTTAAAATAACGAAGGGGGATAATAGTTAAAAATGCTGGGTAAAATGTATAAAGCATTATAGTCCTAAACTCTGTTGCCTTGAAATTGTCAATCTCCGCCAGAACTCTGGGGCGGCGTTGAAAATGTTTTGGTAAATACGCTTTGAAACTAAGAAAATTTGCTGAAATACGGTTTATAATATTCTGGGATAATTTATGCGGACAATTACTTCCCTTTGTCCAAAGACGCAACAATTTTCTAACTACTCCAAGACAAACTAAATGCATGTAGTCAAGTGGCATCTGGGTAACTAACCCTACATCAAGTTTTGTAAGACTACAAGTGCCGGTGTGATGTTTTGCGTCAGTCTGATTATTAAAATCTTCATCCGTCCTCTTAGAAATATCTGTTTCTAAGTAAACTACACGACCTATCCATGTGCCGGATTGATTGCATTTGTCGCAACCATAATATCCATTAAAAGATTTTACATTTTTTAACAAATTTCGTGCGGGGGTATCTGCAATAAAGCAACTAACCCTGATATCAAATAAAATGTTATTTATCAGTAAGCCATTTTTCTCAATCGCTACCATATCATCTATGAAAGTGTCAAGGAAATCTAAATTCTGGGGCTTGCAATTGCCATAAAATAATCCAATTACGAATACTGACAGATTAATCTGATCTACTTTTCCCAAAATTGGCCAGAATTCATGCTTACTGCTACGTGAAAGAGGAATGCCATCTATTCCAATTGATAACGTGAGTATTGGATTTTTGCACTTTGTTTTTATCGTGGCTAGCATACTACAGTTCCAGTTAGAAATGCTGCTTAGATCTTGCAGGCGTCTAACAATGTTCTGTTCTATTCCAAAATAAACAAAACTGCCTCCACTGATTTGTATCACATTTAGTTGCCTTGGAGTATTGCGCAATGTTCTAGGGTCAGAAGGCAAGTTAGGAAAATGTGGCTTAAGAATATGTAACAAATCTTTAAGAGCCAGATGACCTATATTATGATGAGCAGACCATTCCACCAGGGCTTGTCTGCTAATTTCCATTGCAGTAACTTCCCTGTCATTGCTATCATTACTTAACTCTAAAATATTTTCAGTCTCATCGGTCAAAACAACGTTTTGCGTATCCTGCTCATCCTCACTTGAAGTAACTAAATTTAATGCTGAACTACTCACACCAATATCAACTATACTACTCTGTATATCAAAATCTAAATTATTATGCGTTACATTTGTATCAACATCTTGTGATCTAATTTGTTGAATGAGTTCTTCAACTTTCTTTACTCGCTTTCTCCTATTTGTCCATCTTGAATATCCGGACATTGCTGACGACGACGCTGCCTCCCTCCGCCTCGGTCACTAGCGTTCTTCAACCAGGATTTGATGCGTTCGTCGATGTCACTATTTGTAGCTTTTGCTGTGGAGGAATTTTTCCTCACCGACTCTGCAAAAATAAATAATTTCTTATAAACCTTTGTCGTAATCTACATCTTCTATTGAAATTAAACAAATATTACCATATACAGCTCCGAGCACTTTAGTATTTTGTAGACCAAGCTCAGAGCACTTTCCCCGTCCAGTTAAACAAAACTTTTTGGCCAACTCATTGGTAAGTGTGGCCTTTAAGATTCGTCCCGTCACGGATTTCAGGTCCTTTCCCCCTAAAATTTCTAAATGTTGAACCTTTAATGAAAGTAAACAGTTATCTTTAGGCAATGAGGTAACCAGAAGTTATTTGACTGATTTACACATACAATCTTTACAAAATTGCTGTCTGTTTGCAACCACGCCTCTAATTCTCGAAAACCATCGGGTGCTGAGAGTGGTAACTGTGGCGCTCCACTTAGCGTGGGGAGGGGTTGACCTTGAATGTTGGTCCTGCTCAGTAGCTCTGCAAGGCTGTCGCTAACTAGGACCAGCCGGTCAATCACGCGTTCCTGAAACCCTATAAAATATTATTAATCAATGAACAATATTAGTGGTTTGTGACAAATAAAATATGTGCCAAATGTGCCAAATGAAATAATTTTTACGTCTGGTTTCAGCTTGAAATTCTTCAAACTGGTGTTTTAGCGTCCCCACATCACAGTTGCAGGACTCTTGTTGTGAGACGAAAACCGTCACTGGAATTGGTGTGGAACCCGACACTAAGTTTAACTCATTGTCTATCAAATTTTAAATAATTTAGAATAAATCATGTAGATTTGTAAAATTGTAAATTAGCATACAGTTATTTTCTAAATTTTTCGAGGTATCGAGTTGAAATTCTCCACCTTCCTGCTCTTCAACAGTGTGATCGATGTCCTTTTCTAAAAAGTAATGAAAAAATCAATCTTGAGCAAATTCAGATTTTCTAGACTAAGAGTTACCTGAATTATCTTTATTTCCGGCGGAAATTATATCTTCATTCAGCATGAAATAGGAGGAGCTGGGAAAAGTGAAATAATTACAAGGTTTTTCTGTATCTGAGTCACTATCAGATAATTGTGAGAGCGGTGGTTCCGGTATTGATGTCTTCGTAACCCTGCTGGGTGTCTTCTTTTTTTTCATCAATTTAAGTCCGCCAGTGCCTTGATTTTTGACAATATTGGCTCGCCTCCTCCTTTGTGAGTGATCCTCGGCGTCTGTTGATTCGACGACAGAGTCTTCCTCAGCTTTATTGCAAATTCCACGGGCCTTAATATACGAATCTGCAGCAATAATAATAATCAATAATATTAAGCATAATCGAAATACATATTTAAATAGATAACAGAATAAAACAAGTCAGGAACTAAAAAGTACTTACCACAATTTTGTAGCACTCGACATTTATATTGGAACCAACCAGAGTCAGGCTGGGTGTGGTCCTGAACAAATTTTCTTATCCTTGGCCCTGAAACGGGTGGCCACTTACAGATTGATTTTGAGTTATCAATCCACGTTGATGAAACTACTTCCACCGACTGTTCCTCAGTAAACTCCACAACAGCAAAAGACTTAATTGTTTGTGACATGAGTACTTCTCGAATTATTTTAATGTTTAAATAGATGGGAAATAATTATTTAATTATTCACTCTGCAGCTGATGGTAATGTGGGAAATGTGGGAGAAGGAAGATGAAGGGGAAAGAAATGAGAAGCAGGCAACTCTATCTGGTGGTGTGCTCTGTACATAAATCGAGCATGGAGAAGTTGGCCCACCACTTTCTGGCCGACATCGGGCCGCTGAGAAATTTTTCATACAACTTTTCTAGAGTTCGATAAGAAGGCGGCTAGAAATCGGATTGAACTGCGAAATCCGACTCTTGCTAGAACCGAACCCGAAATCGGGAATTTGTCGGACAAGGGATGTAAATTCGGCCGAACATAAACCGATTTTACTCTTTCTACCCGCTTTCTAGCCGATTTCTCTGGTACATCGGGGGTGTACAGAATTTCGAAATTCGATTTCTAAGTCACGAAAAATTAGTTTGAAATTTATTAATATTGCTGTGTATTTATGTATGTAAACGTATGGGAAATCTTGCGATGAGTCCGTGGATCCGCGATTACATTACCCGAATGAGCCGAATTATCCTATTATTTTACACCAGTTATTTTTATTTTGGCGTTCAAATTATACGAAATCATACGAAATTGAATAATTTGAACGCCAAAATAAAAATAACTGGTGTAAAATAATAGGATAATTCGGCTAATGTAATTCAAAGTCCAGAGGGGGTGCAAATTTCGCGCAGTTTAAATTACTCAATGATTTTTTGAGACGACCACGTCATGGAGGCTAGCCTTAAATAGCCCGTTTAAAGACAGCTATTAGGGGCAGAGTTCAAGGACCACCATGGTTTTCGTCCAGTGGAGGAAAAAGTTGCTGAACATTTACTTAAAAATAGAACTTAGCCGCCAATATTTTCTTTAAAGTGGACATTCCACGGAAAGTATCACGCGATTCTTAATTTTTGGCTTGACTTTTAAATACTTATACTCGCTAGACAATCTTGGTGTAGCTTGAAAGAAGGTTCAATCTATAGTTTGATTTTTTTAAATTTAGATTTAAATGAAGTTTTAATTGCAAAATCGTCTATAAATAACATTTTTGCTTCCAATCGGATTCAAGTTTTTCACCTTTAAAGTATAAATTAAAATATCGTCAGTCTTACATAAACACATACAAGTCAAATTGTTACTCATATTTTAGAGCAGGCAAATTATGCTTGAGAAACAATAATTTCTCCTCATTTTCGGGACGTGAAAAGCATTTGAGACTGAAGTAGGCTACTGTAGATTCCGAAAAGACACACGCTATAAACCCTAGTTGCTGGAAAACAGCAAATTTTGAATTGGATAAATAATAAATTGACGCTTTTGTTGGTAAATGAACTAACCTGCTGCTAACTTTCTTTGTGAACTGATTTATGTCGAAAATTAAATAAAAACTGAACTACCCGTTACCCGTGCGGGTAGCTGTCGCTACCCGCAGATAACGGGTACCCGCAAGAATTGTGCGGGTATGCGGGTAACGGGTACCCGACCCGTTACCCGCGGCAACCCTAATATGTACATACATACGTATTGACACGAAAATTCAACTAGCATTCATATTCGTGCATGATAAATTGAATTTTTTTCGGCTGAATTTAAAAACGCAACAGTGATCGTATCCACCCATCTAGATTTCCAGGTTCTACTCAACACGTCATTTACTTATCCACATTAGTAGGCAAGTGCGCACTACTTGAGCATGAGTTTACATGCATTACAAATGTTACCATGGGGCTGCGTGAAGGATTAAATTACTTATTGCGAAAATGAGGAAGTTAAACAATACCTTTGTTAGAACTTACTTCTTTATTTCTCTATTGTCGGATTTCGTGCAAAATGACATGAAACTGGGATGATGATAGGTATGAGTTTTGCATAGTACTGATTAAGGCCATGGTGACACAAGTTTTACCAAAATGTTTAATCGAGTTGTTGTAATGTGTCGTATTTCAGCAAGGTTTCGTGTTTCGAAATTGACACAAGTTTTTTATTATGCCGTCATCTTCATATTTCTTGGGGGAGTTCTACCTTTGACAGCAGGTGGATACATATTTGTTGAATACATATTTTAATTTCATTAGCAAAAAAAACATTGAGGGTGTTCATTCCGAGTTCGCAAAAAAATAAAGTTCGCAAAAAAAAAATTTTGGCTAGACCATTGATTTGCGAACTTGCACATCTTCAGGGCTAGTATTTAGTTCGTAAAATATTTTTCACAAATGTGGAAAATTTTACAATGGGAAAAATTCATAAATCTCCATTAGTTATCGAAGTTTTGCATTTTGAAATTTCTTATTCGGTAAATTTCACACGTATTTAAAACTTCGGTAACTAATGGAAATTCACGAAATTTTTCCCGTTGCCAAATTCCAGACATATGAACCATATTTTCCTGCGAGCTTTTTCATGAAGTGCCTTCATTTCGTTGCTTCGCAACATCAGTTTCGAAAAAAGTTATGTTGCAGGGCGAACATGCGAATTCGTAATGAATGCCTTCATTATTTAAAAAATAGTTTGCAAGACTGCAGAAATATTTAAAAGCAAACAATTGTAAAATCCTCAAGAAAAGCGAAACATTTTGTGTACAAATTGGTGTCTTATATTCATTCGATCTTTTTCAATAATTCAACAACGTTACAAATTTACAGGCACCCAATTGAAAGATAAGGTCGACTATGGGCGAAATTGTACCACAACTGAACAATGCTTCACCCCACAATCCATCTGTCTAAATGGAACTTGCCAATGTTCTCCGGATTACATTCATGAATTTTTCCAAGGCTATATCCACATTTGTAAAGGTGTGTGAATTAGGAGATTATTCAGGAGAAATTTATTTGGTTGTGTGGTAGATGGATTACGTCATAACACATCAGAGGTCGACGCCGACAAATTCTCGGCGGCAGCGGCGCCAGTTTTTGGTGATTTTTCGGCGGCGTCGGCGGCGCGGCGCGGCGTCGCAATGTTAAAGGAATAGGAAATCAAATTTTTCGGCGGCGGCGGCGCGTAAAATGCATCGGCGTATGGCGGCGCGGCGGCGTGAGATCGGCGGCGTCGACCTCTGTAACACATTTACAATTAAAATTTCTAATTCTTAAAAAAATGCAATAATTTTGACAGAATACATTTGCAATAAATTATAGTAAGTTTTTGCGTAATAATTCTCAAAAAAATACTATTGCGCAAATTCTTTACCATATATATGTAAATGCGCTAAAAATATTTAATGACTTGAATACAAATTTTGAGAAATATGCATGCATATATTTTTTAGAGGAGACCGGACAAATTGAGGGAATTGTGATAATCGAGGTAAATTTATCTCAATTTATTAATTAATTGACAAAATTTTTAGTTACCTAAATTTTTAGACCGGGCTTTGGTCAGGTTTTTCATAATTTTAGTTTCTTTATGAATAGGATCATCCTTGGGTGATTAAGAATGAGACATGCTTGCAAACAGAATCTGAAGACGTGGCTTCTTCATGTCGTGATAGCCCTTGTTATTCCGGATTGTTGATCGACGTTCTACATCAGATAGATGAAAATGTCAAAATTTTAGAAAATTGTACCCTACAATTGATACAACAAGAGAGAAATGATTCAGCAGGAAGTATTAATCGGAATCAACCCGGCTGGACGGATGAGATGTTGTCAACTATTAAGCTCAATGTACGTACTAGAGAAGTACCAATCTTATTTATGATTTAGGCAAGTAAAATGCTAGAGTTAGCATTTTAGCAAAAAAAACTATGCTTTTATACAGCTCTGTATAAAATCGTACTTTTTTGTTCAAATTTTTAGTCATACCGTTAAATTTGTACAAACATTTCCGAAAATAGTACATATTTATATTGGAAAACTATGTACACAGCACACAAAAACTGTTAGTGAAACTTAAGCTTGTGGAAGGTGCAAACTTTTATAAATATTACGAAAGAAACAGGTTCAAAAAAATAGATTGACGTTTTGTAAAGCTTTTTGCATCAGAGTTCAAAAAATAACTGGATTGTTTAAATGATTGATTACCTATTATTAAATAGGGTTGCCACGGCAAGGCTGGTATTTTTATAGTTCGAATTTTTTCATAAATTATATTGCGACTCGAGCATTCAAAACTGTAATGAATACCCCCATTGTATTAAAGTGCTAAAACGCTTTACACATAGGAGACGGACTTGGTGCTGGCTCTGGTAAACTTTACCAATCCATGGTCGCGTTCGGTAGTCAAACTTTCGACCCCGTTATTTGTCACGCTCGAGAATTACACGTATGGCTTGGGATACTCGAACCGTCTCCCGCACAAGACCACGTTTCAATTCGACTTATCGTAAGTTTTTCATGATGATGAATTTTTGATCTTTTAAAATTACAAATTTAACCATGTTAAAAACCATGTCAGGCTGGCTAACGAGTTTATTGAAGATTTTGGAGCGCCCCTTTTTCAAAAGTGGTTCCAGAATATTACTTCGCTTTGGACTGTGGAAAAACAGTTGACGCCATGGACACGATCAACCTTACCAAAGATGGAAATCGCTAAAATTATGGAGTCATTTTCACCCGTTGAATAGAAAAGTATTTGCGTGCATGGATGTTCCTAATTTTCTGTGAATTTAATAGATTAGTCAAAGTAGAAAAATAAAATATTGAACCTACATATTTACAGTATGCAACAAATTTAATCATAGGGTGAGCATAGGTCTCACTCTACATATCTGTAATAATTCCTGTTTTCTTCCAAATTTCAATTAGTAAATGTGTATCGTTAATTTCCAAGATAAGGTAAATGAATTAGTTTTAAGAAGTTCTAAATATAAATATAGGAACTTACTAACTTGTAAAAATAACTAATTTAACGTCACGTTCCATTCTTGCTCTGAGTGTACACACAGTTTAACATTGTATGAATTTAATATAAACAAACGAAAAAGGTTTGCCTGGAATGTGAAAGTTTTTCTAAGAAAGGTATGATTCGTCGGGACCGAAATGCGTTTTTGAGAAGGAGCCTAAACACATGCATAGAGATAAATGTGCTTGAATATCTATACTCTGAACATTTTCCACTGTGGTGAATTTGCATATTTCATAATAATTATGCAATGACACAATATGCGTAGATTTGAATATTCATAAGGTCAAAAAACTTCATTCACCTAAAGTACGATCGTTTACAAGAATTTTCGAAATTTATTAGAATTATTAAGTAAATTAATACATACATATTATTACTTTTTCTGACAATCACATACATATGTATGTACATACATATGTATGTACATACATGTAAATACTTAAGAAAATGCAAAACAAAATTTAAAATCGAAATTTAAAAAAACCTCACAAATTCATAACACACAAGGAAGCCATATTAATGCAAATCTACTCTATAAAATTACCCTCCGAGACACCCTCTCTTCACATAATTGATCAAATCGATAACCGTTTTTATTTGCTCGGCGTCTTCGTCCGGGATGTCACACTCGAATTCTTCCTCAATCGCCAAAATTAGTTCGACAAGGCCAAGGGAATCTGCGCCCAAATCTTCGATCAGGGACGCGTTGTCGTCAATTTGCCCAATGTCGACGTCAAGTTGTTCGGCGATGATGTTTCGAACCCTCGAGGCTACGTCTCTACCTGGCATGGATTTTGGCTCTCGAACAGATATGGTGACATCTTTTGCGGATGAGACTTCACGGGCATGAGGCAAGGTAAGACTCGTGACTAATTCCTTGTCAGACGTTAAGGTTCGCAAATTTCGAGGGTCGTCCAAGTCCATTTTTTGTTGAAGGTGTCTCTAAAATTATTTTTCGAATATCACAATTTAGGAAAAATTAACCACAAAATCAATACTATCGCTCAGCCAATATTAATAGTCTGAAAAAAATCTGAAAGGTTTCCTGGCAGACAAGCTTGTTTTATTTTTCTAAACACACACTAACCTCTCAGATATTTTTGCAAGGAATTGAGACTACTAATTTTAGCTGAAGAGTAGTCATGGAACATAAATTAATAACCTTTTGCCTCCCAAAATATTTTGGTTTTCCCAGTTTTGCAGTTAAGCTGGCCCCACTCGAATGGCCCAGGGTGGCAAATAGCACAAGAATTACGAGGAGAAAGGTGATTCCGAAATTATTGGGACGCATGGTGGCAAATATATTTGGAGAAATTAGTTCGTTAAAAAATTTGGGGGATGAAAATTTGTATGTATTTAGTTGAAAAAAACTGCGAGTATGGAAAGTACGACTGATATGTAGGTGCTTGGTCAAAGTTTGAATAGAAACTGAGAGAATGGACAGAGTGGTGACTTGGTTTTATAGGGACCCTTTTCTCCAAGGTGGAGACAAGTACATGGACCACGTGACCGAGTTTGTGTCACGTTACACAATAAATAATAAATATTTAATGGTTGAGAACTACCCTCATTGGTGAATTGAGTACTCAAAACTATAATTCTTACGTATTTCTTCAGAATTTTTCTTTGGAAACTTTTTACATATCCATATCCATCTATCCTATAAAAACATATTTTTTCATCTAGTTTTCGGATCAGAATAAACCGATAATTGTAAACAAAAAATATTTTTCGTTTCTACTATGTATCAAAAATACTAAGAAATTATAAACTGTTTTATTCATTTCCATTCCATGGATCATGTTATAAATATTTCGTCTTTTTGTAAGAATCATGCTAATTTTTACTGGTTACTAAATATGTATGTAAATACATAAATATTTGGTGCAGTTGTCAAATTAAGATAATACTTTAAACGAAATTTTGTTGAGTTATGTATACACAAATTGTTAATACATATATTAAGAATTTTAATTTATAAATTAATTTAACGATTAGACACAGAAATCAACAAACAACACACCGTGTGGATGCCCACTTTGGAGAGACGCTCGGTTTTATGAAAGGAAAGCACAAATCTATGTACATTTCAGTGGGCCATTCCAAAAAGGTGTCTTGTATAATATGTAAATACCTTTTTTATGTGAATCCTTAGAAAATTATACCTCTTGACCTTGACCCAGAAACCACTTTCAACTTTGCATTCATTCATGCTTTTCTAAGAAGCAAAACATGAGGGAGAAATGCCTTGATAGAAAGTTTTTATTTTGTAAAAAGGGCCCTTGTACAGTAAATATTTTCAGCATTTTTTCACTAAATTTCTTAATATACATATGTAAGAGAATCACAAACTTGCGTTTACATATTTATATAAATACATTTACATGCCATGAGAAAAACTGACGAATAGATATTTAGGTAGATATGTAAATACATATGTATTTATATAATGAAATTTTATTCTGTAGGACATGATTATGGCGATTTGTACGAGTTTATATGGATCTATCTGTAATATTCAAAATCAGTGATTTTGAATCACCTGCGCAAAATTCATGCATACTAAATAAAATAATGTTTTTAAGTACACGTTTAAAAACACTGAAATCGCTAAAATTATGGAGTCTCACGTTTAAAAATAATGTTCCTGTTTTGAAAAGTACGTACGTAAATGTACTCAATGAATTCTATATGATCATATTATCTATCTAATATTCGTACGTAAGGGCAAAAGGGAATTAATAATAATTAGCATTATTCAAATTATTAATCAATAAGAATCTGGTCCCAACCAATTTATTTACCGTCAGTCACATACATAGTAAATACACACAAATTAATTTAAAGTACATTATACAAAAATTCATCAGAGGGTGAACTCTTAAAAAGAATATCAAATAAATATTACATCAAAATACCAGATTCATCGCTGAACAAAAAATCCATAAAACTAATACAAGTAGTCAATAAAACGATGAATTTACTCTGAGAAACTAATCGGGAGACCGCTGTCTTCAACAAATCCTTCAAATTCATCCCTCTCCGTCTCCGTCATCTGAATATATTTGAACGTGAAATCAGCAAACTCCTCACAAAATTAAAATTATGTAATCAGGCTTACCAAAAATCCCGACATTTTGATCAATTTGATCTCCCTGCCGGCCAAAAGAATCTCTTTCACGTCATCCCCCAGGACAAAAGGGTGCTTATTTGTACCGCAAAATCGAACCTCGGTGTGGGACAAGCCTAAACAAATCAAATTAATCAAAATTAAATAGCAATCGATCAATAATTAATTGCTCTTAAAAATAAGCAAAGCAAGTCCACTCTGAATTATGTATTAAGTAAGCTATTCTAAATCCAGAGTAAATTTTCCTCTTTATCAAGTTAAATTTACTCTGGGTTTTGTATAGTTTTCTTAATTTAAAATTCAGAGTTTACTTTTCTTTTTACTTACTTACTTTTCAAAGGGTAACATTGTTTTTAAGAGTCACTTAACCAAACCACTCCAATTCTAATGGTGCATATTTACCTTTCTATCGCTTCAAACCCTGCATCGTGCCCAACACGACGCCTGAACTGCGCACATTTTTCATCTCAACTAAAGCCGAGGTCAGCTCCCAAGGCGCAAAGTTTCGCAGAATTTGCTTCAAGAGGCGAATTTCTTCGAGGTCATCCATCTGCAGGTATGCCAAAAGGGTCAACTTCAACTTTAATATCTTCACGGCGGGAAAAAGACGAACGATCTCGGTTCCAATCTCGACATCGTCTTCATCTCCGTCATACGCGGCATCCAGGTCGAGCGTCGTAATTCCGACGTGAGGGTGGCGGAAATGAGCAATTATGTTGGACAGGGTGAACCATTTCTTGATGCTGCCGGCGAGGATGACATGGGTCAGATTTGGGACGTTCTTCACAGACAGACAGTCACCCAAGCGGTAAACTTCCATGGAGGAGATTGACAACCTGGTCAAGTTTGGGAAGGATGGGAGGGATAAAGTCTGGAAAACAGTTGAAACGTATCTTTAATTTTGCAAAAAACCTCTAATTTGTAAAAAAAAATAATAAAATAGTCTAGTAACGAAAGGAAAAATTATGCCGATTTCCCGAAATTTTTTAAAAACCCATCAGAACAAAGAAACTCGTTTTCCCTTCTGTTTTTGTCTTAATTTCGTAAATTTAAAACTGTTAAGTAAAATAACTATTTTCATAATCTCCATAAACTTTGAAACATTAGCCAATTTTTCCTAGAAATTTGTGCTAAGTCAAATTTTGTGAGCCTTTTGAACTTCGTGTATTTACCATGTTATCAAGGAGTCGTCTAATTTCCTTCTAAACATTTATCTGCCCAATTAAATGAAACTGGTTCCACAGAACCACAAACTAACTAATTAATCCGTTCGTTATAAAAGACCTTAAACCTATATTTCCCCCGTACCTGCACGGGCTGCACGTCGTCGTCGTCCTCCTCATCATCCTCAAAGTCCACCACTCGTACCTGGGAGAGACTCAATTCGGTCAAAGATTCCCGACAGGACTCTAACATCTTGACGATTTTATCCATTTCCACGACCTTAGAGGGCTCGTGTGTACGCCAGTCCAAGAACTTGACAAACGCATACGTAAACTTGTCCAGTTTTTTGCATGGGGCGAAATCCAAATAAAAACCGGCCTCCACCTCAACCTCTTGTAAATTGGGGGTGGCATTGAACAGTTTTTGAGATATGATGGCTCCCAGCTTATCCTGATCAAGGCGGTACTGGTTGGCCATTCTTATCGAAATCATCTTCACGTTTGCCATCATCGGGTACGACCCGGTCAGAATACTGTCCGCATTGTCGTCACTAAAGAGCAAAACGGTGATAGAAATTTTGGTGAGGTTGTTGAAAAGATGTTGTCTTGATGTCCACATTTTGTGCAGCCCGGGTAAAAATGAGGAGTCGATTCGGACCTCGAGCTCCTCCACGTGGCGAGCAATTCTGGGCCGGACAGCGGTGAAGTTTCTTGGGAGGAGTTCCGGCGAGTCACAGGGACACGTGGACGAGACGAGTTTCACGTTCTTGGCCAATTTTGGATGAAATACGGTCAATCCGATGGTTTCGGGGATCTCCGAGTCGCATGTAATGCTTTCCGAGAACATCTGAGGATGAGTGGTCTTTTTCCCGAGGAAAGGGGCGCCAAGATCGGCCCACAGGGTGCAAACGGGTCGCACGGATGTTTTCAGAGTGGGGGCGTCCATGTAGGAAAAGATTAAGTTCACAAGCTGCACAAGAAAATATTTTCCATTCCGAAAATTTCCCTTCAAAAACGGTTTAATGATAAATATTTAACTTGTATTTTATTTACCAAAGGATTCATGAGCGCACTGGTAGCGACATTCGTTTCGTCAATTTGTAAGTCACCACTCTCACCTTGCTCTTGCATCAGATCGGCCTGTAAAATTTGGGGACAAATTACTATTTTCATTGTGAAAATTGCCTTTTGATTGAAAAGCTTTGACGTTTGAAAAACGGTTTAATAATAAATAATTTGCTTTTAATACAGGATTCATTATCATTACCGCACTGGTAGCGGTAATATCCAACATGTCATCCATCTGTTGGGTTGATAAGTCGCTCTCAACCTGCATCGTGTCAAGCTGCAAAATTTACGAACAAATTAATATTTTGTTTTGTGAAAATTATTTTAGTTTTAAGTTTACAAAAAGTTGTAAATTGTGACGACTTTTTAAGTCGTAGCAGTCCGTTTAAGGTTAAAGAGAATTGTGACTTGATTTGATAAAATCGGAAGTCACGTTATAAATAAGTTTCTAATTAACAGAGGGCGGATACGTATGTATTTATAACTTTTTCATACAAAACCAGATCGTACTGAAACTTCGCATACTAACGTCTTATCTAAGTGACATCTCAAAAATTCAAACATAGTTTTCCATATTTCACATATTTTAGGGTTTTCATACATATACATATTTTCATACATATTTTGAGGTTTTTTGGTGAATAGTAAATATTTGACTACATGTTTCATAGCTTTTTAAAATATAAATATTTTTACGCATGTTTTGAAGTTATCTATATAAAAATCTCTCTTCATAATTCACGTTTGCTCAAAATTATGTTTTTATGATAATGGTGTTTATGTAATTCGAGTGAACGAGTTACAAACCCATTTTGCCCCATTGTATGTTTCCCAGGCGAGGTATGCCCTTTTGTTTAGTTATTCATTGCTACGAATGATATTCTTGTTGAGTTAAGTTTCTTAAAATAATAATAGTTGTTTTTTGGAGAAATTTTAATTTTAATTAAAACGATGGGGAAGCAAAAGACGAATCATAAATCCCTCCATGCAGGTTGGATTCAAGATTTAAAGGTTGCTAATATAATAAAAATTGACGGTGCAAAACTTGTCTGTTTGGTAAGTTTCAAGACAACTTTATAATTAAATAATTAATTAGTTAATTGTACTACTTAATTTACTTGTTTACTACTAATAATTTACCACTTATGCATGTAATTTTAGGCTTGCCAATCCAACTTCACATTTAAGCAAAAGAGCCAGCTCGAGCAACATATCAAAACTTCCATACATGAAAATTTGGCCAAAAAATTTGCAATGGATCCGCAACGCCAAATCCTACTGAGCGAGGCTGTTGAATCGCAATCTAATAAGCCTTTCTATAAAAATATGTGCCAGGCGTTTATTTCTGCCGGAATTCCTTGGAAAAAATTGCAAAACCCAGTCCTGCAAAACTTTTTGCAAACGTACACCGGACGAGCTATTCCAGACGAATCTACCCTCCGAAAAAATTATCTTCCACAGATATACGCAGAGGTACAAAACAAATAACTGTCGTAAATATCAATTTAGTTTGTAAATTTACTCATCACACTGATTATGCATAGGCCATTGAGGAAATTAGACGAGATGTGGGAACAAATCCAATCTGGCTTTCGGTTGATGAAACAACGGATGCATGTGGTCGATATATTGCAAATGTTTTAATTGGATCCTTGAAAAAAGATGAACCAAGCAAATCTCATCTTATTTGCTCTAAGCAGCTTGAGAAAACAAACAATGCCACTGTAACAAAACTTGTTCTGGACTCTTTGCGTAAGTTTAGAATATTTGCTACTTGGAATTCAGACCTTGTAATTAATTCCCTTTTATTTGGAATTTGCAGAAATATTGTGGCCTGGCTGCAAACAAGATTAAATTGAAGCGAAATTTCTTCTGTTCATTACTGACGGAGTGCAATACATGTTGAAAGCTGGGAAAAACTTAAAGGTTATTTATACAAAATTATTACACGTGACATGCCTTGCCCATGGCGTGAATCGAGTTGCCGAGCAAATACTTTCCCTATTCCCAGACGTGGATAAGTTTGTCGCAAATATGAAAACTGCATTCAAGAAGGCCCCAAGTAGGATCGCTATTTATAAGGAGAAATGTCCTGACCTTCCCCTTCCGCCGAACCCAGTGATTACCAGATGGGGAACATGGTTGAAGGCTACTGAATTCTATGCTCAACATTTCAACGAAATGAAGGATATTATAGAAACCATAAACAACGATGCAGCCTCAGTGAATACCTTGAAAACTATGATTCAATCCCACGACCTTCCGAGGAATTTGGCATTTATCTCTCTGAATTACACATTTCTTGCTGAAAAATTGACAGAACTCCAAGAACACGGTGGATCATTGCACCAGACTCTCCAATACCTTGACGAAATTGAAAACAAATTGCTCAAGGTGAATGGGAATATTGGAAAAGCTGTTATTGAGAAATTTAGGACTGTCATTGGCAAAAATCCCGACCTAGAGAAATTGAAACAAATCTCTTCGATTTTAGAAGGAGAGTCAGATGAAGAACTTCCGACGGAACTGAATCCTGCAGAAGTTGCTGCATTCAATTATGCCCCTTTGACATCCGTTGAAACTGAGAGAAGCTTCAGTATGCACAAGTTTTTGCTTTCAGATAGACGCCAAGAAATTACTCCAGAAAATCTCGAAATGGAACTGGTGTCACGCTATGAGTCGTTGACTGAAGATTAAAATTTAAGTCTAATATGATATGCTTATAAGAGAGCTAAAACATGACTCTGTTCGAAAATAAAATATAAATATGCTAGAAAATTTCAATTGCAAAATATTTTTTATGTGCATATTTTAGAGTTTTTTACGTGCATATTACATACATATTTTCAGGAATTTAAGTACATACATATCCGCCCTATGGTAATTAACTGCAAACTGCGACCGACCACAATGAGTTTCGAGACTTTACATAATTGCATTGAATTGTTATTTATAACGTGATCCATTTTAAGTGACCTGGTTTAATCTTACCTTATTAGTTAATAGGAGGAAGCTATTGTATTTAAATTAGTTAAATTTCTTAATTTGGCTCCTCAGAAATTAAAAGTTCGTGTCCCGTCGCTTTCAACTTGTGGTGAGAAAAAACACTCGACGTTGACAAATTGAACTCGCCTCGCGTTTTCAGGGGAATTGTGAGACTTGAACGTTACAGTTGTAATAAAATGAAATATTTCAATTAATAACAATTTAGCAATTAGTTATTTAACAATAATTTAATTTAAATTATTTAAATGAGAATATTTCCGAATCGGATATATTCTCAATTCAAAAATAATTTTGGCAAAATTATCAACTGTGTTTGGTACTTCAATGGGAAACATGTGATCTGAAGGTACTTAATAGGCATGCATTGGGTAGAATTTGAGAAAATTGCATTCATGAAGAAGTACGTAAATGATCAATTAATAATTATCGCAGCTTGTCCTGCGTTAATATGTATAATGTATAATACATTACATACAGGGGTCCACGTCGACCTAGATATTTTCGGTGGCAGAGGTGGCGTCAATTTTGGCGATTTTTTTGCAGCGTCAGATGGGCGGTGCGGCGTCCCTATGTTGAAGGAATATGAATTCAAATTTGTTGTTTTATAGACTTTTTATAGGAGAATCTCAATGCTTTCTTTCAAAAATTCAAATTAGTAACGTCAAACAAAAATAGTACACCAGCCTTAAACTTATCTAAGATATAACTAAAACGATTTCTGAAATTTTATTTCAATTAAAATTTAAATTAAAAAATACTATGCAATTACTTAAATCTACATATTTATCTAAATTGTGATTTGATTTTTTTAGCATTAATTTACAGTAACCGTCTTATGCATTTATTTATTAAATACCGAACTGCTTATTGAGCGCTCCTGGCGGAATAGCTAGCGATAAATTGATCGTATTATCCAATATTCGTACATAAAATGCTGCCTTGGTGGATCTCTTTATCGTGAAAAATCTCACCTCATGAATCCCTACCTGTAGTCCAGAGGGCGTCAAAGCCTTCAACTTTCTTCTTAAGTACCGCCTCTTCATTGCATCCGGTTCCTGCATCACTTTCATATTCCACCTTTCCAGAATACTCGTGGACATGTCGTTTACCCTTTGAGCTTGGGGCAACATGACCGAAATGACCAAGACAATAATGACCGCGACCGATGGAAACATAACGTACAGCCAGAAAGGCACCACGCTCATTAATTTTATACTTCCCGCGTTAATGAGAACACCCGCGAATAAACCGAACGCAAATAGCACGGTGGTACAGGCCTCCTGAAATTTTGACATTAGCCGAATGTGAATCTCTTGTTGGGATGCGATGCTAATTAATTAATTTAAATCAAGCGCATTTTTCTTCTTGCCGTTAAGAACGTCAATGTCAAGCAAACGTTGTAAATTAGCGCCGCCCGTGTGCAGCGCGCTGGCGAACATGACCAGAACGAGGGTCAGATGGCGAAGACCTTCCAGAATTTCGATAAATATGAGAAATGTCCGAAGCAAAGTGGTTCCAAAGTTGAAAATTTGTAGGGAGAGGTTATCTTCAATACAGGATCCAACCAGGTTGAAGAGTATGTAGTAAGGATCCAGCTTTGCGATAAGTCAGACTAGTGGGCACAGTATGGCGTACATTGTGATCATTCTCATCAAAATGGTCAGGCCTTTTCCGAAATAATCCGCTTCATGGGGTTCTTGTCGTTTGGACAATCCCGCTTAATGAAATAACCAAATAAGGTTTATTTATTCGTAACATTTTGCCAGTTACTGATATGCAAGCGATTGGCGATAATCGTATAATAGATGACCGTATGAAAATTTCAAAGCGAAAATTTGGCAAGGTTTTGTGTTGAAACTTGGCAGATTTTTCTAGAAAAACTGCATGTAGGGCGTTGTATGTATCAACTATGCACAATTTTGGATAATTATGCAAAATCGGTCCCGCAGAATAGATAGATGAAATTTTTCGCAGATATAATTGTGAACACCACGTGCATAATTTTGCAGCATGCAACACATTTACATATTTTTATATGGGAAGGTTTTCATCACCGTTTGGAAATATTTCGACACCACATCTGTCGGTACCGTACACACATTACAAAAGTTACCCTAAAACTTTAAGCCTTTCCTTCATCGGTACTCCATTGCGTTGCTAATACCTAACCAATCGATAAGTTAATCGATAAGAACTTACCTCGTGTACACAACTGTTCTTCCATCCGATGCACCTCGTTCCACCCATGGGCAAATTCCCTTCCATAAATCATTACCGCAATTGCAATACCAATCATGGTCAAACCCACGATTCCCATTAATACGAGGCCCAGCACATTGAAAAGTGGGATTGTCTTCGTTTCCACGACAAGTTCCCTTAAAAGAACAAAGACCACGCTACCAACTCCGCTAAACGCCAAAAGACCAAACATATTCCAAACCCATTCAGAAAGTTGGGACAGCGAAGACACGTAATAAAATCGTTTAGTTGAAATGTTCCACATGATGGGTGCAATTTCGAGATGTTTCTGGAAACAGGTGGAATAAATATGAAGAGCTTTGAGAAGCTCGGGGGACGGCATGCCATGAAATTTTTATTTATGCTTTGATTTGGCGAGGATTTCATCAAAGTGGTCAAATTGACCCACTCTGCTCTACTGGTTTATCGTACATACAATCATTAGTTATATACCAACGAAGCCAGTTGAAGGTTTTGTACTAAAAAGAATATTCAGACGTCAAATAGATAACTCAATTACTTTCTTTCGAGTATTAATCGTATACTTAGATACATATAACGTATTGAAATAGTGAAATGTCAAGGTCTATCTGAAAATACGAAAAGGTTGGGTGTTTATATATTACATAAAACATGCTCCGATATTGTTATGTACAAACATAAGAATGTAGGTCAAAACAAAGTTATTCATCTATATATGACCCATATAATATGGGTTATATTTACATTTAACGAAAAATTGACCTTCTCGCAAGTTTATAAGTATTTGCTTGAAAAATAGAAACATATATTTACATATTTATAGTTACACACAGATGTGCATATGTATAAATATTATTAAGGGGTGAAACCCCTTTATAAGATTGATATGTCTGTCTGTCCGTCTGTCCGTCTGTCCGTCTGTCCGTCTGTCCGTGCGATAACTCAAGAACGGTTTAACATATTGACTTCAAATTTTGAACATAAATTCTTCATATACAAACAAAGGTCAAGTTCGAAGAGGGACCCTTAAGGTCACCCCCTTCAAGGTCAAAAGGTCACGAAATGTCATTTAAAGGTCAAATGTCATATATATATATATCAATTTGACAGGAAATTTAACGGTTATTTCAATGGTGACCTTCATTTTGACCTCAGAGGTCATCGTAAGGTCACTGAAAGGTCACTAAACGTTATATCTGATACGTATGTCAATTTGAACTGAAATTTAACCCCGAATTCAATGGGGACAGCCGTTTTGACCTCAAAGGTCACGAAAGGTCACTTGGAGGTCACTGAAAGGTCACTAAACGTTATATCTGAGACAACATATGTCTATTTTAACTGAAATTTAACCCCGAATTCAATTGTTACATTCATTTTGACCTCGGAGGTCACAAAAGGTCACTTGGAGGTCACTGAAAGGTCACTAAATGTTATATCTGATACAACATATGTCAATTTTAACTGAAATTTAACCCCGAATTCAATTGTTACATTTATTTTGACTTCAACGAACATGAAACTGTTAATTAACTGTTTGTCAACTGTTAACTGACACCAAGTGTTATAAAGTTTACGGTTTCACCCCTTCGTTACATGCGTTTAACGGTTTATTTGAATATAAATGTTAAAATATGTAGGTACATATAAATATGTATATGTCAATAGTTAAATGTTGTGATAAAAGTATAAGATCAAGGATGTCCTGCTCTATTGAGTTTGATCTTATATGGATTGACGTAATGTGAGAATTACATCCACCATTATAATTTTTATTCTTATATTTTAATACCCATGTAATTATGTAATTGTGATGTACCGATTGCATCACGATAATTCTGGTAGTTTTTGAGTGATCATATGCAAATACATTAAATAAATACGTATGTATCAATAGAAGGGATGTATGTACGTACATACATATATGTACGTATACAGACGTATCGATGATTAAAAAAGAAATAAATTAATTTTTTGTATGCAAATAAATATTCACAATTGTTAAATAGCTTCAGCTACTTAATGGGGAGAGTTAATTTGTCCGTCCGTCAGTCTGTAAGTCCAGAACGGATCAATATTTCTTCAATCGAAACCGACTTAATCGGTTTAATCAAAACGTTTACTTAAACATTGATCAATTTTATCCCGGTTTAACCAAAACCATTTAATTTAAAGGTGAATTAATTTTATTCTGGTTTAGTATCAAACCGAGATACTCCACAACTGATCAATAATCTGGTTTAGAATATCTACATATGTACGTCTGTCTAATTTTTGGTGAGCGGACAATTTCGAAGATTGGGTCAATTGAAAAACCCCGGCTAACCGTCAGGGGGTGTGGTCCAATGCTTTATTTCTTAGCAATTATTATGCAACCCGGATCAGACTATAAACTACTTAAAAGATCATGACAAAGGTATTGGACCGCCCCTTACGACGCGCGCCGGGCGGGAACACAGCGAAATTAAATTTCGAAAAAATTATTTTTGAATAGACCAAGTTATAAGCTTTCCATTGATATATGTCACCAATTATTGAGTTATGGCTAAGACTAGAAAAACTTGGGTTGAAAGGCAAGAGTTGGGAAAAAGAGTGATTGAGTTTCATAAAAATCGAACAAACTATGATTCTAAAATCACTTGGCAATTTTTCTAGCAAGAAGGTATTCCTCATTCAAATGTCAATTCTTGCATAAAAAAGTACGAGGAATCCAATAAAATCAAATTCAAAGTCTCTACTGGTCGACCTGCAAAGCTAGCGACGACAAAAGTCAAAAATCAGATAAAAAAAATTTAAAAAAATCATTCATCAACGGCAACGGCTGGCACGACAAGGAAGGTCAAGATTTCAAAAAGCTATTTGAGCAAAGTCAAAGTCCATAAACTAGGGATTATATCCAGGGCAAAAACACTAGCACCAAATTACAAACCAACACAACAGGAAAGGATTCATGCGTTCTGCAAGAAATTATTGAAGAAAATTGGAGGAAAAGTGGTCATCATGGACGATGAGCCCTGCGTCACAGCTGACCCTTCAAATCTTCCAGGAAGGCATTTTTTCCATAGCTCCAACCCCTGTGAAGTAAATTGTGAAGACAGAGTCGAAAAGAAAGACCAATTCGCAAAAAAATGAAGAATTTGGCAACGCATGTCTAGCATTGGTCATGTTTCCGATCCCGTTAGTTTGGAGGGCACTGTAAACCAGGGGGTTTATCCTAAATCATGCATTAAAGGGGGATTGGAATCTTTTATTACTAAAGATCATAAAAAATAATGTTTTGTTTTGGCCTGATTTCGCAAGGTCCCATGACGCCAAAAAGGTCACTCAGTACCGACATCTGAAAAAAAAATTGAACTTGTGCCAAAAAATTAAAACCCACCAAATTTTCCTCAACTGCGACCAATTGAGAAATTCTGAGCGCTGACCAATTTCAAATATTCTAAGCTTTCAGAAACGCCAGACACCTTACGAAAATTTAAGAACAGATGGAAGAAAATCAGCTTGAAAGTACGTGCGGTCTATGGGCGGAATTTGATGCAAAATCTGAAGAAGAAAATGCAATCTGTAGCACATTGCGGAATTGAATCATTAAAATTTGAACTGTATGGCAATCCAGACCCTTTGGTAGTAAACATATGCAACTTTTTTGAAATTGCATTAACTGTGTAAAAAGTTCTGAGCATTTTCTTACGCCGGTCCAATAGATTTGTCATGATCTTTTACCACACCTTAAGTTGAGGCGTTGTGGCGACAGTATGAAAAACAGTAAATACATTTCTTGAATCTGATGTCCGTATTTCTAAATTCCACTTTCACCATATGATGCCATAAATTTGTATGATGATGATTTGATATTTTGATGGCCGACCACACCCTCCTGATAATCAAGGCGTATTGCTGAGGCAAGATGAGATTACTGCTGAAATTAATTGAATTGTAGCAACTTTAATGTTCCGGCGTCGTCGGGGGGTGTGTTTGTGGCAAAATGAGACATTTATAAAATCAACTTTAGTTATTTAACGGTGAACGAGTATTTTCGCAGTGAAATGATTCAACAAGGTAATAACATGATTTGTAATTAATTATATTTTATAGCTGGGTGAAAGTTTCACTTTTAGAAAATAAAATTTCAATTCAAGCTACATCTCATACCTTCGCTTATTGCTGTTTATTTAATCAATAAGAAGACCAAGCAATTAGCCTGATACATTGTATGTACATAAATACATAATCAGGCTAATTACTATATGTATGTCATACATATAGTAATTGCTCACAATCAATTATATTAATTTGACCAAGACTATTATATTTCACAATTGACACAATTACGAACGGTCAACGGATTGAAATTGCACAATAATCACGAGGTATGTTGAAACGGCTCCGACAATCTAAATAAATAGGTCACGTGATTCTTAAGCGTATAAAGAATCAACACAATATATAAAACTATAAGGATCTCACAATCTTACCGACAGCATGAGGCGTAGATTTAAATCAAACATTGAGTTTCGAATAGTCAGAGGACAGCTTTGTATCAAAAGTGCATCATTTGTGTCTATTTATAAAGGTTTCAAAATATTTTAGAATAAAAACGACTTATTTGTTCAATTAAAAACTACCGAGCATTGCAATACATAAATTGTACAAGAAAATAATGAGAGTATTCACAATTGTCTTCGTAAATGTGATTAGTGTGGTAAAATAGTTAACGATGAAAATCAAAGGGTCAAGCTTCTTAAAAAATCGTAAATTTACAATTAATACAATTAGTCCGTGACTTTTTACGACAAAATCTTGCGACTCCTGCAAAATCTCGTAACCGTCGTGGTTTACGAGGTAGGGCGTCAAATTGACCCCGTCAGATTTCCCCGCGACAGATTTCCCCGGTCATATTGACCCCGCGACAGATTGACCCCACGCCATATTGACCCCGCGACATATTGACCCCATGTCATATTGACCCCACGCCATATTGACCCCGCGAAAGATTGACCCCAGGCCATAGATACAGGTACTACTTAATGTATTTACACACAAATAGTTAATTTTACTTTCTATTCAAATTTAAGTCAAATATGTATTCCACTCAAAAGTATACAAACATCATGTAATATTTTAATTGTTGATATGCAAATTTCATAATGTATTTTTATCCTCATTTTAAGCTAAAACATCTACAGTGCAGACCTATAGCCCGAGTCATATTTGTTAGATTTTCTATTATTTGGCATCAAATCCCTTAACATCTTGAACTTTCAAAGCTGTGTGTGCTATCCAGAAGTGGTTTTTATCCCCATACCAAATTTCAGATGGAAATAACAACTTTTAAAAACGGTATGGGTCAGCCTCCAGGGTCACTCTGGTTACACCTTGCTCACTTTTAACTTTATATTCTATAATGAGAAGCCATTAAGTATTACCTTGCCAGATTTCATCTTTTTAAAGCAATTTCTAAAAATCGGTATGGGTCACCCCATAGGGTCGCTCCAGATAAAAATTTTCAACATCTCTACCAAATTTCAGTTTGATATGATGATTTTTGAAAAATCTGTATGCGTCACCCCATAGGGTCCCTGAAGATAACAATTTTTCCAACTTGAATGAGTTTTTGTGCATTATAAGCCATTAGCAACCTCTGTACTAAATTTTAGCTCTCTACGATAATTTTGAAATTTTGGTGCATCATACCCCACCCACTCCGATGACCCCCACCGGTCAACCACTGGACTGATTTCGCCCATCTTCGAACTCGTTTCCTAACTTTGTCCAATATGCATATGGTAAAAATTTGAAGTCAATCGGTTCAGCCGTTTTGGCTCTATCGGACGGACATGACGGTTCCATAAGCCCTTACTCGGGCTAAAAATATAACAATTTGTCAACAAAATTATGATTGAACATGTCGATTCATCTCATCCATTAAATTAACACTTTATGAGATGGCGTAAATGTTAATTAATTGCGTCTGGTACGCTAGTGGACAATGTCCATGGGACATACCTATTTATGTGTGTATTAACTAATAGTTGCCGGGGGTCAATCTGTCGCGGAATCAACATCACGTGGGGTCAATCTGTCGCGGGGTCAATATGACATGGGGTCAATCTGTCGCGGGGTCAATATGACATGGGGTCAATCTGTCGCGGGGTCAACATGGCGTGGGGTCAATTAGTCGCGGGGTCAATATGACGTTGGGTCAATCTGTCGCGGGGTCAATATGACCGGGGAAATCTGTCGCGGGGAAATCTGACGGGGTCAATTTGACATGGAATCGGTTTACGATACGTAGAATACTAAGGACAAGACGGAATCATGAATACCCTCAATACGTTAAACAACCCTTTACCTTTAAATTATTTAGACTGTTATCAACACTATTTCGTGGCTCGTCCACCCTCATGACCTTCACGATTCCATTTCCTCCCGTGCCATTTTCCACGCCACAAAACCTGTACCCCATCAATCTCCCAATCTCCCCACTTTTCTCACTTATTTCCGTACACTCTTTCCCCAACCAGACAAACCACGCCGTCAAAAATAGACTATTAAAAAAATCAGCAAGATCAAAAGTGGGTCATTCATGCTTGAAAATAAAATTAGAAAATATCCATAGAATAAGATTGATATAAAATTGTACAAAACTTCCAGGATCATTTTCTGATTAAAAGTCGCGTTAAACAGGTGAACCTGGTCATCCACTAGTTTATACAGCTTTACCAATTTTAAAACCATATCCCTACTATCTTGCACCATTTCCAACTTATTCAAAATTCCCGCCAAACAATGGTTATACACCAGAAGGAAAAATATCATTAGAGTAAAGCAAAATATTTGCGAGGTAGCAATCACCGCGGAAAATGCATCTTGCAGCAGCCCCATTACAAAAACGTGACTTTCTCCTTCGTAATTCCAGGTAAACACGAGACCTCCATAAAACCCTAGAATCACCGCGACAAAATTGATGGCCAAATAGATAATCAACTTTCTCCTTAAGGATGCCCTAAATTTTTCTACGGAGAGATCCTTCTCATCCAGCGCGAGATCAAATTGGTTCAACATTTCTTTAAAAGAATGCCAAAATTTGAGAAAACTAGCTCGTTGGAAGAGTGTATCGATTCTTGTCAGTAACGGACACCCATTTCCGAGCAGGGTCCAAAGTAGATTAATCGTACGAAAGGTGGCGTGACCCATGGATTCGAAAATCTCGGCGTCGAATCGCTCCGTATCTGCTTTGAAGGAGACGACGGGAAAAGTGCAGATGATCAGGAGGATCAAGGTCCACCAGGCGGATAGTGATTTTATGAGGGCGGAAAATGAGCGAGGACGAAAAATTACTCAGGTCAAATAAGTAGATCATATCGATGTTAGATTAGCTTTTCGGTCTGTGCAATTTTGTAAATTGGCAGAAATATTGTGTACGAAGGGGGGATCTAATTAGGTAATTACAAAACCAATATTAGCCTTGGAAGTTCAAGCATTGTCAGGTCAAATCAAGCAAACATATACATAGATACATAAATATACATACTTGCATTAATTGGAATAAGTACGAATAAGTAATAACGCTTCAAGCAGAGAAAGAAAATTTATGTACTTACAAATATTAACTTTTTTGTACGTATTTTTCACCCTTAAATAACTACATGATTTAATTTTTTTGTAAGAAAACCAACTACTTAGGGATACATAATTGTGAATAATTTATTTACGGAAATTCGATATCAAACAGGTCACACATACAGTAGCTTTAGTAATATTTATCTCATTGAAAAATAATCAACTTACTACATACTACTACTACTTCTGTATGACATGGGCCACCACATTTACATACGTAATAAAATAATATTAAGTACATCTCATAAATTATCGCATAATTAAACATAACAAAAATGTTTTTAAAAAGGTTTGACAGATTTCGCATATCTAACTTTTGAAGAGCAATAGAATTTTCGCAAAGCTATTTCACAAACTCATCCCCTCCACGAGAAGCTAATTACAAATTACTAATTCTCAAATTACGGAGATCCATAAAAATTACATCCAAACAGGAATATTTTTAGAACTTCGTAAAATCTATAAAATCAAATCCTGCGAATCCCCTCACGCCAAAAATTTTGCGACCTTGGCAAACTTTTTGCGAGAATTGCATGTAAATACTAACTTCCACCCCCACCATGCACCTTTCTCACATGACTCTTCAGCACGTGTCTCTGCGTATACGCCTTCTCACACAGCTTACACTTGAAGGGTCTCTCTCCCGTGTGCGTGACCCTGTGATCCCGTAAGATTTTCACGCAGGAAAACCCCCTCCCACAAACCTCACAAATTAAGTCTTTAACCCCACTATGAATCTTCATGTGATCCCGGTAAGACCCCAACGTAGTCAATTCTTTCCCACAAATTTCACAAATTTTCGGCCCACTCGGCTTATGCACGCGAACGACATGCTTGCGTAATAGCTCCCTCGACGAATAAACGTCGCCACACGCCTCCCACTCGCAGGGAAATGATTCGACGCCCGCATCCCGATGGGCGCAGCCTTCATGGGCGACCTTTGCGGATAAAGTGAGAAACTTTTCGTCGCACGAGCTACACGAAAAGGCGGCCTCATTGTGCACGGAGCCCAGATGGTGGAACTTATCGGCCAGGCTGGAGAAGAGGGCAAGACAGCCTGGGACCCCACAGGGGACGGTTTCTTCGCCGGTGTGGCACGACGAGAGGTGCAGGCTTAGGTCGTCCTTCGTCGTAAAGGAGGCCCGCTTGCAGACGAGGCAGGAATACGAATCTAGCGTAAATAATTGAGGGGATTCATTATTTCTTGGTATCCTCATTAATCGGAAAATGATTAAGCGTGATGGATTTGAATTCAAAATCAGCTTCAAAATGAGCCTGGAAAATATACGATTTGCGATTTTACGACAAGTAACCGGATGTTAATAATTTTGGAAATTAACATAATAAATAACAACATGGAATTAATTATTCATCGCACTTGTCATTAACTCTGGTCAGATGTCCAACAGGGCAAGGATTTTCCATCACGTTTTTAACCATTTTCCTAATTAAGAGTTATGGAACAAGATACATATACTAGTTAAGAGTATCGTAAAATAGTTTACGAAAAAACAAGGGTTTGGTAAAAATCACAAACGTGATTTTGAATGACAAAATCTTACTCCGTTTACGAAATCTCCGAACCGTCGTAACTCATTTTACGATATGAAGGAATCATGAATACCCGCATTGTCTTCGTGGAGTAGGGAATGTGTCGCGAGATGAGATTCAGCCAAATGCGGGGAGCCGCACGTGGGACAAATCCAGGTCAACCGGTCGGCATGTTGAAGCCTTTCATGGATCGCGAGTTTGACGGGTTTAAAAAAATTGATGTTGCAAAGAGAACAGGGATACTTATTTTTGTCCTTGACCCGTTCAAAGGTTTGACATGATTTTACCGTGTGACGCTTTAATTGTTCTTCTTGTTTGAATCGTGTGTCGCAAATGGGGCAGAAAAATGGAGAAATTTCATCAAATTTGGTGTGATTTTCCACGTGGCGTTCGTACAGTTGTGAAATTGCGAACTTTTTTGGGCAGAAGGTGCATGATAAGGGTTTATCGGTGGTCAGGATTTCGTGCTTTTGGAGGAGGTGACGAAGCCAGAGTTGTTTGGTGGCGAAGGCTTTATTATTTCGGCAGTAAGGACACGAGAAGTTTTTGACTTTTCCATGCACGTGGGCGATATGGACGCGAAGGCGGGATTTCGACTGACGTCCGTGGAATACTTTGTTACACGTGGGGCAGGTTTGCGGACCAGGGGGAGATTTTGGTCGGCGGATTTCGAACGGCGTGATGGTATAGAGATCTGCAACTACATACATAATTACAGGTTGTAATTTTTTAGCAAAAAAAACATGCGTTATTTATAATTTATAATTTGTAAATTATTACTTTTCTCCTCTTCGGTAGGAGTGGGAGATGCAGGGTCAACCTCGTCCTCCTCATGTTTCAAGTCTTCTGGGTCAGGATCCACTTCAATTTTGCAGAAGAATTGAGATGGTTCGAATTCAGTCTCGGATTTGTATTCTTCTTCTTCCTCCTCCTCCTTGATTTCAGGTGTTTTGAGGAGAGTGATGTTCTTCTTGGCTTCTAAATAAAATTAGAAACATGTTTTTTAGACCTGTACATATTTGCAAGTCAAAAACTTTAAATTTTGCACAAACCTGTACAAAATGTTAATCTTTTCAGGATCATCTCATTCCCTTTGATACCTTAAGTTTGTTATTATAAAATAATTTAACGTTCTCTCAACGACAAAATCTTGTTTAGTACTGCAGCTCATACATTTAGAATTAATTTGTGTATTTATTTATAACGGGCAAAAATTAGTTTGTAATTAGAATTACAAATTAATATAGTAATTAATTAAAACTGTATAATATAATCCTCTCACCTTTCGCAATCTTTTCCTTAATCTGATCTAGAATTTGGGCTTGTTTGGATAGTAAAAGTTTTAGTTTAGAAATTAAGTCTAAACAGTGATAACAATTATTCCAACTTGGTTTGTTTATTTGTTGGGCTGAATTTTCTTGCAGAAAAATGTCATTCTTTCCCAACAATTCACACATCTGGTGAGAATATTCAACTTTTAGGGAGACAATTGGCTTATCTGAAACACCGCAGATGCAGCAATTAACGAGATTTTGATGATTATCCATTTTATTTATTTATTTATGTATTTTAGAGCAGATGACAAAATAAAAACAGATGAGTTGAGACGTTGCCGCTTGCCCGGAATCGCACGAACAAAGGAAAATATGCATGTAAATGTTTGTATGCATGTTTTTTTTCATTTTTGAAAAGTTAATGTTTTCATAATGTAGCTAACTCATGCATGTGTTTCATGTCATTCGCATTTCTATTTTTATTAAATTATGCAATACTTCTTTGAAAGTCAATGTTTGATAGCGTTCCAAGTAAAATTTTTCGGTTTGAAATGCATAGTTGAAAAAGATGCATGAATTAAGGCGAATTTGTGTAAAACGCATGAAATCTTAAGGTATAAAAAATCGCATTATGGGAAGATGATGGATAATTTCATTCAAATGATCTGGTTATAAGTACGTTGTGTTTGCAAATATTGATGCATATTTATTTATTTAATGAAAATTTACATATTTACGACAAAAACTTGGCAGGTATGGTGATATAATACTGATAAGTTTAGTTCACTTCTGAATTTAATTCACTAAATTAAATTTATGATTACTGTAAATCCAATATTAATAGTCGCAAAACAATCTGAAAGGTTTCCCGGCAGATTATTTATTTTTCAATTAGCAACCAAATAACCTAGCTCAGAAAATTTTCCAAGAAATTGCGACTATTAATATTGGATGAACAGTATTGTATGCACATATGCAAATTACTTATTATTAAAATAAACCCAAATCCAACCTCATTTCCCCAATAGTGCAATTATAAATAGCTCCACACTACACATTTACCGTACATTTCACTTAATGACTTATCGAGCCCGACAACTTTTTCCACCCCCATATTTACATAAACGTGACCAACATATTGAGCGTGAGTTGCATCCCGTTATCCAAACATGTCGCGACGATCGAGGTTTCGAACGTGTACAGCGAGCCGGCCTCACACCTCAGCCGATTGCACGATCGGAGCATAACTTTCTCCAACTTTTTCTCCCGTTTTTTCGCCGGAGGGACGAATTCCATTCGTCTTCGCATGGAGGCCAGCACGCTTTTATTTTCCGTGACGACCCGACCCGATATGGCGAGCGGGGTGAGGACTCGTAAAAGCAGCGTGCCCCGCACAGGGGACTAGTAAATACAGTTTAATTAATTAAATGTCATAGTAAAATGTGAAATTTTTATTATAGCCAAGACTTACAACATGAGATTAGAGCCAGGCGCGTAGTGCCAGATGCGTATCACGCCGAAGAGCAGGATCGCCACGACGGCGACGAGGAGGGCGGGTAAGGTAGCGAGGTACGGGCGGAAGGCAGAGTTTAGCAGGGTCATCAAGTACTCGAGGGTGCGGTAGGGCACGATGGGAAATGTTGTTTTGCTTATGGTGAAGGGGTTACTGCGTTTCAGGCTTGATCTGCGATAAAAATTAGGCATAAGGAGTCGTTCATAAATTATGTACGAAATTTTCTTGACCCCTCCTCTCCCTTGAATAAGCAAGCTTTGAATATGCACGATATCATGAGAGCCTTATGTCCCCTCCCCCTCCCCTCTTATGTCACATAATTTATGAAGGGCCCGCAAGTTTTCGATTATATTTTAACGACTTCATGTACAAAAATTGGATTGGTGGTGTACGAAATATGTGGAACAATTTTTTTATATGCAAAGTCTAAGGAAATTTAAAATACCCATAAAAAGTTAGAATGTGAGGAAACGTTTTTTTGCCAATGCGGTTTTTGATAAAGTTTAAAATCAGTTTTCGGTTAATTCGAAATCAGGGTTTCACTCATTTTTAGAAAATCGGGTAGTCAACCCATCACAAATTTTACATTGTGCGATTTTTTTTACACATTACTTTTAACGCTTTCTCCAACTTTCACTCACCCCATTTTCTGCAGCTCGACCAGAATCCAGCTCAGTCCCAACAGAATGATGGCCCAATTGAAGGACAGTGTCGTGAAGATGAGACTCGTCAAATAGTACTCGAGCACAATGAAGGGAAGTTTATCCACTAGCTTGAACTCTGACCCGCCCGGATATCCGGTGCAGGGAAGGATGAGTGAGCTCGTAAAGTGGGGCGCACATGGCGACTCCTCCACCAACATGACATGAATGGCAGGATTTATTGCAAACAGGACAAATCCAATGGTCAAATATTTTGCCAATTTTTTCTCCTGTTCGATTTCTCCGGGGCGTTTGGCACGTTTTTCGACTGAAATATAAAGTAGTTTCGGAATACATTTAATTTACGTTTTTCCAGCAATTCTACATGAAATAAGGTACACTCTTAGAAATCGAGTATTAAAATAATACCAAGCATTATTCATATCTGACCCTACCAAACTGGTACTGAAAATTAATACTTTGTAGTAATAGCTTCAAATAGCTTGGTATTAAAGTTTCCATATCGATAGCAAATTTTTACGGTCCGGTATAACTCTAGTCCCAAGCAGTAGCAACTTTAATTCTGAGAAATCAGTACCTTCGTGTGCAGTACAAGATTTCCAACAGTGTATTCATTATTTTTACATTAAGGTTTTTTGATTTATACTTAATACTTTTTGTGATTTTTAAACCACAATTTATTTTTTATTACAATGTAAAGTACATATTAAAGAAATGTACTTTGTTTCTTAGCATAAGTTTTCTTAATTAGTTAAGTTACATAATAAAAAATATACGTACCTTTCGGGGCTGCCTGCACCTCGTCCACATATTGCAACAAAGAATTTACAAAAGTTCCAATATCCTCCCCATTATTTGCAATTTGGTAAAATCCAATTGCAGTCAAGCTGTACACTCCGATCCAGGCGATATTTAGGATTTTTAGTAAAAGTGGCAGCTCCGTTGTAGTTCGACTTGCCAAGAAAAACCTGACCATTGCAAAGAGCGTCATCCCATTTATGACGAAACGATGGAAATTGAAGACATGTCGTGAATTTTGACTGGGTGGGTGGACCCTTTTCTCATATGGGTCATACCGATATGGAAACAGGTGAAGGGCACACCCACACCGGAGAAGGGACGAGAGAACGGAAGAGCACGGGATGCTCAGCATTGCTCGATTTTCAATTTTTAAAAGATTGGGGGAGAAAATTTTCTTAAATTTAAGTAAGGTAAACTTGGTAAACTTTGGAAATTGCAACTATATTCGTATCTTTAGTATTATAGAATACTTTTGGAAGAATGAGCAAGGGACCAGGCTTCGTAAAAATCGTAATGCGATTCTTGTCGACAAAATCTTACGTATATAATCTCGTAAAAGTCGTAACTTATTTCACGATACGAAAAATACTAAGGATACGAACAAGTAATGAATACCCTGTGTGTAAAATTTCTACTTAAGATGCAAAATAATCAGTCGGAATTTAGCCTGAAATACGTTTAATTTTTTTGTTTCTAATATATAAGGTTTACTAAATTACTAATAAATATTTATCGTGGAAGGACTTCATAGGATAAAAGTTAACGAGAGTTTGACCAAATGTGAATTAAATGATAAAACGTAAGATCATAACATAACAACATTTCACTCTTAACATTGAAATTGAATTATTGTACTGTTTGCACAGTTTATGTGCTTTATGTTAATTTTAACATCTTTAACTTATGACGCCACACATTTCCTGCCATGTTTTCGCTCTTTTATCGCGCTAAATTATTCGGGAGATTTTCAATTAAAAGCTTTTCAGGTTTGATTGAATAATTCGATAGTGTCACGACCATGTCAACTAAGTAAATGTGAAGGGTACATAAGTTAATAAATATGTAAGTACATATTTATCCACGTGTAGAAATACACGTATTTGGCTACTCAAATACAGATACTCCGAAACACACTTTATTTCGCAGTTCCATATAAAAACTGGTATAATCTTGATCTCTTAAGCTATATAAATGTATAATAATTTCCTTCAGGGCTATGTACAAATACCTATTTTGGGTTTATTTAAATAAGAAAACTTTAGGTTGACACATGCCAAGTAAATTTCACGAAGCATTATTATTTATTAACTATACAGTTCATAGATTCACTGCTTGTCTTGTACATACATAAATATTTAGTAGCGCCAATTCCATACTTTGATAGCGTGTACGTTACATACCTATCTCAAGTAGGTATAAATAGAATTACCGAACAATTTAAAGGATAGGAAAAGCCGGAATCATTCAGAAATTAGAGACTTTATTTAGTAAGTAAATATGTTTGGACGATTATATTGTTAAAAAGACATTGCTTACATTAGCGGATTAATGAAGGTTCGGTTAAGGGAATGCTACGCAAATAAGGTCAGCAATTCTTAGCGACATTCATAATTGTGTAAACTAAAGTAGCCCCCTTAAATTTTAATCTCTGTTGCTTTAATGCATGGGATAAATTTGGAAATCCTACTTAATATACCTGAACTTTAACTTCCATCAAAATTTGACTCCCGCGTTCGTCTCCCTACCATACTAATAGCATGGGAAGGATACGAGCGCGGGATGATGGAAGTTAAAGTTCAGCAGTATTAACAAGGCGAATTTAAGATAAAACAAGTAAAAAATTAATAATGGGTAATGCACAAATATTTACTTTCGAATTTTGAATATGTAATGAATGAATGATTTTTGTCAATTTTTAAATCGAATGAATTTTGAGCGAAGAAAAATTTTTTAAACAGGTATGTGTAGAAGTATGGAATAGTTAAAATTTGGCAACCATTTTTGTAGCTATAATTATGGCAAGTCCGTAAACATGCAAAGATGCCTTGGTAAGGGTAACAAATTTGTTACCCTGACAATTTAGTTGTTCATTACATAGTCACCCCTGGTAATAGCGTCTTAATCGAATTATCCGTTTTATAATTCCTGAATTATTAGGAATCCTAAATTAGGATTAGTAAGGCAACTGCGAATATCGGTTTGATAAAGTCTTGGCTTAATATGAACAAGTGGAGTAAATCGATTTCCTCATTTATTATAGGTTGATACGTTTCATATTAAATAATTCTTATCGATTTATATCGACAAATAAAATTAAAATCGATACGAAATGAATTTATTATTACTTTTATACCATTAACTTTA